AGTGGTGACTAGATGATGGAGATGTGGACTGGAATTCGAATGAGAGGACGGAAAGATGACAATCCTCGACGAGGTAACGATCAAAACAACTCGGTGGCTGTAGTTCCACAGAACAGAGCTCAGAACATTATACATGCAAGGAAGCTACCTCGGGACCGAAATGTTCGAGATTAAGTGCGAGAAGGCGTTGGTAGCTAGACAGCGTCAACGTCAGAAGGATGTGCGTACCAGCTTACCTAACCCGAGGCAAGGGCCTAGGATGTACGCAGATCGGTAACTGGCTCTTGAGATGGTAAGAAGAGACCTCAACATGAGCGTACCTTATATATGCGGAAGGGGCAGTAGCTGCACGCCTGGGAATATCTGGGGAACTGGCAAGATCATACGTAGATGGCAGAGGTACCAGGCTTGGAACCTGTTAGGCGTGACAGCTAATCTAAGGCAGCCTGCCCATGTAGACACCTGTTAGATCGCTAAATTTCAGATAATCTAGAGACGGAGAGCGTTAGACAGCCCTATCACTCAAAGAGACAGTTAGTTTATTGAGGTGGTGTGTGAGGGTAATAGGCAGTGTGTGTGGTTTGGGGGGTCGCTGTACCTCGTTAATATGAATAGTCGGAACTTAGGTAGGAAGGAGGAAGGTGGAAGTAGGTGGGCTAGAGAAAGGCTCTCTTGATTGAGTCGGTGGAAGGTTGATGCAAGGGAAGAAAGAAATATAGGAAAGGGAGAACAGGTGCGGTGCGTGGTGTGAAAAATGTTAGATGAGTGACAGGTGTCGAGGGAAACAAGGCCGAGATAGCCAAGTGAATCGAGGTAGGTACCTACCTACTAGTGCCTGAAGATACGCACACATGCAGGTGCGAATACATAGGACAAATAGGTGCAGCTGAAATTAATAGGGAGTGTAGACAGGTGTGGCGAGTGCATACCTACCAAGTACCTAGGTAGGTGGTGGGCGTGATGTCCTTGCTGAGGCAAACCAAGGCCAGGAGTTGAATGGAAACTGCGATGGCGAAGACGGCCATAATTGTATACTATTGTGTTACCTGGCCTGTTACCTGAACTCCCAGCTGAGAGGCAGGTACTACCATGCAAACGTACATATCTGACGTGTGACCTCCAGTTCGATCTCCATATTTGCGGTAGTTAGACTACAGCTAGACTACCTTACCTACCTTATCTTTTTCTCCTAATTCCCTGGATCAATTGACCACTTACCAGAACGAACATTGAATTGAGCGACACTTATTGACACATCTATCTCTTGCACTCAAAGTTCGCTCGTATACGGGGCGACATCTTGGCTAAGATCTGGTCGAGGACGCAGGAGGCACAACTCGACCTAGCTTCATTTCCATGGTACACGCGAGCTACTGGTTAAACCTGAGGCAATGAGCTTCTCGCCCGCTGACCTAAATCTTGTAGTTGATAGCACCGGAGAGGTGTGGGTTGTGCGTTGGCGGTAATGCTTTAAAGAAGCACTACGTTCCACAATGACAACGCAGGGTGAGGATAGGTACCCGTCTAGATATCTAACGCCAAATGATCTAGGGCTGTTTGTACTGCAATCATTTCAGCTACGTGCGTATCTCGGTTTCGGCTGGCTAGCGAAGATGATGGGGGGCAAGCGCAGGAGGAAACTTGAGTTACTTGTGACCAGCACCAGCGTGATAAATAGGGGGTAGTATTTAGCCTCCACTGTCGAGCACTTGATGTCGATATTGACGCATTTGAGAGACCTTGGATTAACATGAAACGAGCAGCTTACTACTCCAGTTAAGTACGTGGCAATGCATATAATGCTCAGCCGCTTCTTTCAGTCGATTATTGCAACACGCGAGTTCTTCTACCATATGGAGGTTGTCCTCAAGATCCATTCTATTATCATCGCCAATAGTCCCGTGAGCCCATCCATACGCGGCCCATCGCTGCAGAATTCGAGGAATAAGTGTAGTTGGGGCGAGGTGAACAGAGGTTGCGTCAACAACGGGGTATGGTCGCGGGAGGAGGCTCGGAGTGTCCTTTGAAAATGACTCAAATCTCCGCTCTTTATTCTCACATCGAGACTCTTTCTGTCTATTGTTCGTGGACATCGTGACTGTTATACATGTCGATAATAAAAGCGTCAGGTTGCAAGGAGCGTTAGTCCTTTTTTCCTTTCTTCTCTTTTTGCTCTTCACGGCAGTGTTAGTATCCAAGACTGCGGGAGGGAAATACTTAAAGGAGGAGCGTACCTGGCGCAGTGCGCTTCTTCTTCGGAGCACCCTTTCCACGTTGTCTCCGACTAGAAAAAAGGTCAGCATTTGGCATGCGACGTGTAACAGAAGTACACAAGCAACTTGCCCTGCCAAGTGTTCCTGTCGATCTTCCTCCTCCTCATTTAATGTCTCCAGTCCCAAACTCCTGAATTCCTTTTCTAATGTATTGATCGTGGGTCCTCTAGGAGGATAATATTTCGCTAGGGACGGGCCTCGGAGTCTCTGCCGAAGAATCTTATTGCCCATCCGTATGCCGTCGGGGTTGTAGGTTGTTGAGAAGATTTGGCACTGGACCTGGTCGCGACGTTAGTTATCGGCGCCGTGTCTCGCGGACGTAGGTATCTTCTTGCCTTCATCAGGTCCAGAAGCCGTGCCCTGGGTACAGCCGCCATCTTTGGCAAATGGATGGCTCGGCGTAGATGTCCTCGATAATGGTGTTGGCCGGCTTTCTCGCAAGCGTCCAAACTACCCAAAGACAAGACGAAAGTTTGAAGTCGGCAGCTGGTCTGCACACATGGCCTGTGCTCCGCCGTCTCTACCCCCTGCGCAGATCCCCACAATTCCGCATTAGCGTACCTAGGTGCATGGTAGTGCCTTACATCTGGAAGCCAATAGTAAATGATGTTTCGTTTTTGCTTAAAACATACTGTGAGCAAGAACCAAGCATATACCATCATGTCCAAGCGGTCTTTTGAGGAGTTTTCAACAATAGCGTCGAGTTCTCGCTATCTTTCAATGTTAGATCATGCAGACAACTTACTGAAAGCTGCGCAATCTCTCAAGCAGGACCTTGAGCGACTGGGAAAATACAGCGAATCGCCATCACATGAGAAGATCCTCTTGACACTCAAACAACATAACGCTCAGATTCATCCTGCGGCGCATGCATTGCTACAAGATGAGGTATGATGACTCAAGGGCTTACTCAGATTACAAGTCATATACCTAATCTCTCTGAATAGACCGCCAGCGTGAGCGAAACATCAGAAAGTACGCGCAAGATCCAGAAAGTGGGCGACCAGCACCATGGACCTTCAAATGATCATCAGCAGTCGGGATTGCCCATTCCGCATCCAGCGCTACTCACGAAATGGACTCCTCAAGATGTTCCCGATTCAGATGTGCTACCACCGCTGCCTCCTGTACTGGACCCCGTTCTCGAAAAGGCAGCCCGGACTCACTCTGGTGTAGCGAGAAGCCTTGGCGAGATGGACTATGAGCGGCTTGAATGGATTGGCGATGCATATCTGTATCTTGTCTCATCCTTATTCATCTATCAGACCTTTCCCAATTTACCTGCAGGACGTTGCTCACAACTTCGTGAACGTCTCATAAAGAACGAGACATTGTCCGAGTTTACTCGACGATACAACATCGAAAAAGGGGCTCGACTCCCCACTGAATTTCAGCCCGGAGGTAGGCCTTCTCAGAGTGGGGCTGGGACGTCGGCGTCGGTAAAGGAGAGGAAAAAGATTCTCGGCGATCTCTTGGAAGCCTATGTGGCCGCGGCTATTCTGGGCGATGCTGACGGGCTTCCGCGTGTTCTCGCATGGATAAAGCCAGTCTGGGCCACTGTTCTCAAGCAAGAGATTCGTAATGAATACAAGAAGCCCGTTACTCAGGGATACTCCAACAGTAGTCCGGCACACCCTGTCTCTGGCAGTCGCCCTAAGGAAGTCTTAGTCCAGGTGATTGGAACGAAGGGGGTTCGCATTTCTTACCAAGATGAGGGCCCACCGAAGAAAGATAAGAACAGCAAGCTACCTATGTTCACCGTAGGGGTATACTACAACGGCTTTGGCGAGACAAATCTCAGCCTTGGATATGGAAGCGGTCTATCAAAAAAAGAAGCGGGTGAGAAGGCGGCAACGCGAGCTTTGGAGAACAAGAAGTTGATCAATCGACTGCGAAAACTAAAGGAGGACATGAATGCTACACTTCTAAACGCCGATAACAGCCCAGATAAACCAAATGCAGCGACATAGGACAGCGCACATGCTACGTCACCCAATTAACATATACCCACGAGCGTAGCCGTACACGTCAACCATAAGACTGCGGCATATAAGCATTGTCGCACGACTTCTCACTCTGGTGATGGTATTATTAGCGTACGCCAATGCTCTATGTGAAAATCCTGACATCTACCTTCGCAGCCCTAAGCTAAAGGTAGCATTTGAGCGATAGCAGTCTCAGCACAGTTTGAATTATTCAACTGAACGTTCCATATCACTGCCCTTGCACTCACAAAGACAATAATACCAAAAATAGCAACTCATGAATTGCCAAGAGACCAGATTGCACGTCCACTCACCGCTCTCATCATGCCGACGTCGCCTTCAATCGCGCGCTTCATACTAGGTTCTCGTTTCATCTAAGACTATTCCGTGCAGGGAATTTACAGCAGCCTTAGAATGCACATAGAATTGTACCAGTAAACAACATCTATCTACCAATCATCGCCGATCAGAATAGAAATGCAAACCTGTTATACATAATGCTTGTAAATCCTATCATAAAAGGTCTGCAGTAAGCGAAGCAACACGATGGATGCTGAGTCGGTTAACTGCCGGCTGCAGAAATTAGCTAACTACAGCGCAAAACGTTTATTTCCCAAACAGCACAACAGCGATCCCAACCAAATACATATCTCCTCTTCGCGAGCCTAAGCGATAGCTGCGAGAAAAAAAAAAAAAAAAAGAATTCAAGTCATCGCCGCCATCGTAGCAAAATATCAAGGCGTGGTCCCAGTGAGGCTCGAACTCACGACTTTCGCATTACCAATATTATGAGCGAATCACAGTATTAGTACGACACTCTGACCAACTGAGTTATGGGACCAGAGGATGGATGCATTTCCGCATCCGATATCCAGCCAGAATCTAGACTCGCTTATACGTGACAAGGAGTTCAACAGAGCCATTATCCCGAAATGGAATAGAAAAAAAAAAGGTCACCAAAACTAAGCCAAACTACGTACTCCGTACGCTGTTAACTCTATTCAACGCTACCAACTGCATGTAACGCTATTCTGAAGCCTTTTAACGCTTAATCCTTTTTGGGGGGCGTGCGCTCCTTGTTGATGACCCTTGCCGCGTACCCGAGCTGACATTCCTAATCCTGGAGGAGATATATGACTTAAGATGCAGTAGGATGTTGGTCATGAGGGTTTAACAAGAGTAAGTGTGCTGAAGTGAGTGCCGTAGAGGCCTTTTTCACGACGCCGCAAGTCAGGACGGTCTAACAAGAAACGGCCCATCCCATATACGACACCAAAATCACTACTACTTCAAGTGACGGTCAAACAACCGAGAAGCAGGAAAAGTAGGGGAACTAAAATGAACGTGTATTTAAATGCTGCTTCTTTAAAGGCTATCTTTTCTTATTCTACTTAAATGTTTGATTGTTTCTTAAAGTAGCAGATTTTGGTGATATATGGTAGCATATGGGAGATAGGTCGTTTTTAGTTAGAGCGACCTGCCTCAGTGAGTTTAGCACTGTAAATTTGGGAAAGTCGAATCGTACGGCCGCGCACGACTCGTTAGGATAAGGCCGACTCTTGGAATTTCGCAAATGGTAATTGAGCGTTCACGTCTGATCTCTTACGTGCTCCGTAGCCGCATCAAAACGTCATGCTGTGATCCTGTAGATCCCACGGTTCATAGCCGGGAACCTGATTCGCATAACTGTTTGAGTTGGAGGGCGTAAGATTGCCGGGGCTACTGGTCGCAATATCTGTATCGATCGAATCAGAGTGACCCGGGTCGGGCTCATAATGGTCTACGGTAAGATCCATCGAGTGCACACGTCCTGGTAATTTGCACTTGGCCTTGCCGCCACGATATTGGCACTCCATGTTCTGGCAAATATGGCCAAGAACACAAGTGTGTGACCTACAGACCCCTCGCTTCGGGCAAGGTAGCGAACGCGAGAGCCATTCCAGCGTAGGCAGGAGTTCTTCCGGAATTGGGTTGTGTTCGTATTCGCAGTTCTCGTTAGGACACGAATTCGTTAACTGTTTTCTGTTACACAGCTTTCTAATATTAGATATTTCCCTAAGTCTAGCAGAGGCCGCTGAATTAGGGGGCTGCAAGTATGCGTCTAGCCGATGCAGTTGTCTATTCACGGCCACGTGACTGTCTGGTATATCGCTCTTCTTTGGTAGTTGGTAGGCCAAGTCGCGCCCCAGTGGCGAGGTTGGACCGGATAGTACATTGTCAAGCTCATAAGGCGAGACATTGTATAATGACTTCACCCGGCTGGAACCATTCGTTACTTCGGTGTCAAAGCTACCTTGTTGACTCCTTTGCGACGAATAAAGGGGTTTCGTAGAATTGGCCGGGGGTGGGATTCGAGTATCGATATGAGCATTCTTGCAGTCTCCCCCATATCGGCATTTGCCAGCCTGGTAGAATTGGCAAATTTTCTGGGATTCTCGTGAGTTTGTAGCCTGGTAAGTTGGGTTGCCGGCGGAGGGTCCAGTAGGGGGATTGCTTCTTATCACGTCGGCGCTTGAATTGGACTTTGTGTAGAGTGTCGAGCCATCGAGGGGTACTGTACGGAAGACCCCAGGTAATTCCTCGATTCCCAGGTCAAGTTTGAGAAATTGGTCGTGGAAAAGTAGCCCAGACGACCGAAGAAGCGTGACTCTGTTGCGGTCTCCTCTAAACCTCGTCAATTCCGAGAGATAACCGACGTCGTGGCAGGCTGCGAAATAGATGTGCTTGCACTGTAGATTTTCGGCATATAAGTTCAATAGAGCTCGAATCTTGAAGTCGGCATTCTCCTTCAGCTCACCCGCATCGACAAAATCCATAAGTCCGTACGACCTGTTGAAGTTGGCGACGAAGGGAGACAAGGAGCGCTTATCTGCGGTAGCGAGCCCATATTTGGAGAGAGTTTTTGATAAATTGACAAGATTGGCGTAGATGCGGACCATCACATCGCAATGTTCAAGCCCTTTTCCTTGCAGACTCTTCTTTATTACGTTGTTTAGATGCTGGGCAGCCTTCGAACCGCCCTCAGCGCTTTGGTGAAGAAATTCATCTTTGAATATATACCCATCTCCATCGACGATAACCAGCACGAACGGCTTCCGTTCTTGATTACGCGCTAGCTGTTTGTAACGCTCCCTGCCATTTTTCTCCTCTTCGTAGTCGCTCTTCAGCTGTTTGTAGCTGGTCAGGAGATCTGCATAGCGTTGCAGAAAGTCCTCCTCGGCACTCCTTGTGCGGAATGCCGCTAGCTTTTCGGCGGCATCGTCGATTTCTCTATCCGTCAGTAGTCTTGACATGACACAGGCTGATCAAACCCAAGACGCGAACGATATCACGATGCGCGAAGTGAAGAACGGGCGGGGGAAACGTGAATGGTCTGGAGAGAACCGAGCTGCCCTGCAGCTCAACTGGGTGGCCCAGAAAGTCACGATACTATTCTGGTAGATGGATGCTAAGGATGTAGTGCGCTTATGGCGGAGGGGAGGAGATGAAGAGAGAGAGGTAAATCACATAGCGGCTCATAAGCAAGCAGGAGCCCAACTTGAAGTTCACTTTTGTAGGGTTACCGAAGCTGCCATTAGGAGTGGGAGTGGGCGGCCCTAACAATTCTGGCGGTCTAAATGTACCTACCCTAAGTACCTCTCCAATGCCTGGTAGGACCTATAACCAGCTGATAAGTGACAGGCAACGGCTTGGCGGGATGCCAGGGGCCCGCAGCCAATTCATAGCGATCGGACTAACTAAGTACTTAGTCTCCAGTGTCTCTCCTGCTAAAAGCAAAGGCTTCAAACAGTGTTTGCCTGAAAACTTCAGAAGGGATTTCCATGTTTCGAAAGGGACCGAGAATACGTGGCTTGCTACTAAATTTTATTTTGAGGAAATTGGTTATGTCAATACGTAGTGTACCGTGTCTTTCCCTTGAACTGGAACAGGTTATGATATCAGACTTACTTCAAATTCACTTAGGCCTTTCACACATTTTTGTACAAGGCTTGTTTATCTAGGGTATAATTAATTTCATACCACATAAAATACAGTGGGAAAACCTACGCGACCCCGCGGTCGCCAACAGCTCGGTAATAACTCCAGCTCACCCATCTCTCATAACGGGCCGCTGCTAAAACATTAACAAAACGAATACGCTGTCGATAATACAAGATATGAGATCCAACCCAAATCGCTAGCAGCTTATACGACCGCTGTTGGTCTATCATGTGAGCTTTTCTAAAATAAGTTCGACGGTCTCATACTGTTGGAAAAACCGTGCCAGGTAGAACTCAATCAAAGCGGTGCCGTCTGGAAGTGGCTTAACCATGACGGACTGGCGGCACGAAAACCTTCGCCATGACATGTTTCCGTCGAAAAGCCTTCTTCAGCGCGTCAATCACGACTTCGGATCGCCTACGGAAATAGCCTTCGTCAAAGTCTTCTCGCAACGCCCAGACGTAATTGTTATACCGATCCCTGTCGATCTCCAATTCCTTCTCCTCGTAGTCAGCGACAAACGTTAGGACGAGGACGTTCTTCTGTTGGGCGTCTATGTCGTCGATGGTAACTATCTCCTTGGCCAGCAATTTTTTCCATTTCGTGATTTTCAAGCCCCTGTCGTTCACTACTAGTCAGCTAGCTAGCCGGTGATAATCGCGCGATGCAGCCCGCTGGGACAGGAGTTCATACAAATGCTGGTAGATCTCGCCCCAAACTGTGTCAAAGAGATTGCCATTCCTCGAGGTGCATTGTATCCCTGGGAGGTGCCAATGGTCTTCTGTCTCAACTATACGGTGTCTACGACCCCCAGGGTGTTGAGCGGCTCTGTAGGGCATCCGCACAAACAGTACAGAACTCTGCCGCCCGGCTTCGCGTCTCCACAAGACCACGTTAACGTAGATATAGGTGAACTCGTTATATCGTCTCAGCAGCACGAAGGGAGTCCTGTTCTAATTGGCTACCCTCCAGGAACGTACTCCGCCGATTTTCGTCATATTGTCAGAGGCTGGCTGCCATGAAAGGTCAGAAAAGGTGCCTGCAGTGAAGACGTCAAGTCTTACAATGGATAGGATAGGTGAGATAGTATTGTTTTCAGCGGAATTCTTTTCTACGATATCGACGCCCCCGCAATTCGAAACTGTCCAAAGAGATTAAGACTGGAAGTAAACTTATTTCGTGAATGGCTGTTGGTGCTTTTGAGCAATATGGTATATATTGATAAACGAGGGATGACTAGAACCGTGTGCGAACTTCGGAGAGGAGCCGACTGGGAATAGAACGGTCGGAACACTTAGCCTCGCTAGACCCTATGAGGTGTACTTGCTGAATGGAAAGAGAAAGTGTGAAAATGCAAGTGACGTTGGTTTATGTAGTGGCAGGTAGACCCAGACGCTGCATATGAGAAGCAAGTAATTGAGAAGGGACTGATGGCGCTTACTTCCAAATCGTGTTTATAACGAGCCTGGAAACCTCAAATTGTAGGTGAAGATGACTTTCCATTCGAATTCAATCTCGACTTGACATGAAGCATCATTCCACGAACTCTGCAGCATGAAAGAGTGATAGTCGGAGAGGGTTGAGCTTGCTTGAGAAGGAAGCAAATCATTTCGAATGAGCACAAACTAGACCCAACGCTGCGCATTATATGACCTAAGAAACTTCTGTTACTGATGTCCAAGGTCATCGGCGGCTGACCCTGGAGGCTGATGGCAGAAATATACCGCAACCGGATATCAAAATAAATGATACAGCTAATTGTGTCGAAGCACATTATTGAGAGCCATACCATATAATGTCTGCGGCTATGTGCAATTTCTTTCATGTGCGTATCTTAAAAACATAGAAACAGACTGTGAC